CTGCACGAACCTTGGATGGTGAGGGCAGCCGAGTCCTGCACACCTGGGCAGCTGAAGCCAACCAGGGCCCCGCTGTCCTGGTGCCTCACAGCTTGCAGGATGAGTCTGTGCTGCAGGCCCTTCTGCTCCATCCGGTACCGCAGGGCCCCAGGCTCCACCTGGCCCTCTGGCTCATTACTCTTGAGCTCTTCCCCATTAAGGAACCAGGTGCCCTGGATGATGGTGGAGAGATCGAGGGAGAAGACGGCATCTTCCCCGTCATATACCTGCACGTCGTCCAGACCGGCCACCAGGCGAGCTGTGGGCACTGAGATGGGACAGAGTTCAGCCATCAGAACCAGGGGGGTGGCAGAGGGCAGAGGCTGGCAGGTAGAAGGCATATAACAGGACAGGGACTGAGGGCCAGGGAAGGGAGGAAGGTGATGGGGAGGGTGTGACTTGGGGTACTGCGGTTGTCAGCCTGGGCTGGCGGGACCGACTCACCGAGGTGAGCAGACCCATGGAACACAACATGGGAGCTGCGGCCGTGTTCGCTGACGGTGCAGACGCGGAAGCGGTAGTCGCCCTCGGAGGGCACACAGTCTCCCGGCACCTCCACGGCCCCAGCTTTCTCAATGCTGAAGCACTGGATCCAGTCTTCTGAGCCCACCTCCTGCCGTTCCAGCCGGTAGATGAAGGGGGTCTCGGGAGCTGGCTCGGGAGGCTTCCAGGTCAGCAGGACCGTGTTCTTGTGGCCCTTGAACATTTCTGCCAACACTGGGGGTCCCGGGGGATTGTGCTTGACGCCTGAGACAAAGGCAGGGTTTGCATCCGAGCCCTGCTCCCGCCTCCCACAGCCCTCTGACCTTAAGTGCACTTTGCCAACCCAGACTGTGGCATCTGATCACCTTCCAGCCCTGACCCTCCTGTCCAGCCCTTGAGGAGGCTGCCTAGGGGTTTTCAGGCCCTCACATTTGACTCTGAGCAGAGTGGTGGTACGGGAGTTGCCCAGGCTGAAGGTGACCTCGCCAGCATCTTCTCGGGTGACCCCTGGCAGGACCAGGGCATGCATGTGGCCGGAGCTGCTCTGGCAGGTGGCCGGTAGGTCCTCCCCATCTCGACTCCAGCGCCCTTCCACCCCAGCCTCGCGGGTCTCCACCAGCAGCACCGCGTTCTCTCCCTCAAAAACATCGAGCTTCCGGGGCAGCCGCTTCAGGATGGGCCCTGAGACACGGATGGGAGTCCGTCAGCCCGGGGTCTGGGCATCTGCCTGCCTCGGTCTCGGCCTCCTCCCACTGGCCAGCCGACCTTTGACTGTCACGTCGGCCACGGTGCGCACCCGGCCGCGCATCTCGCACAGGTAAACTCCGTCGTCATCTGCCTTCAGCCTGTGGATGATGAGGCGCCGGACCGCGCCCTCCTCGATCTGCTCGTACTTGCGGCAGGGCAGCAGCCGCTGGTCCTCGCGGAACCAGGCCGTGGGAATGCGGGAGTTGGGGACTTTACACTCCAGCACCACAATCCCATGCTCCCGGCCCTCCACGTCCTGCAGGGGCCTCGTGAAGCGGAGGCGAGGCTCTGTGAAGAAGGGAGAGACCAGAGAAGCCTCTGGAGAGGGCCCGACCAGGAGACTCTCCTGCCCATCATCTACTGCCTAAACCCACATTAGCTCCGGCCATTTGCTCTTCTCCCAGAGCCAGCAGGCACTGTGGAATCAGAGAAACCCCCAGAAGGGAAGTCAGGGGACCCACATTCTCATCTGACCCTGACACTCGCCAGCCACATCACCTTGACCAAGGCCATTTTCATGATCCTGGGTCTCAGTTTCTTTACTCGTAAAGTGGAGAAAGGGATGGAAGGGCTTGGACCACATCAGTGATTTTCAAATTGTTCCCTGGGGCCCTTCACAGGCACCACACACAATTCTGCAAAGGTCTGAGTTGAATTTCATTTTGAAAGTACTTTAACCACTTTCAAAACTGCATTTAACAAAAAGAAAGCACGATGATGGAAACGGCCAGTGGTTCACTTGGGCTGCTGGGGAAGCACGTCTGTCTTGTCATGCGGCATCATGTTGGGCTTTTCTCTCCTCAGGGGGTTAGAGTTCAGCCCTGCCCGGCCAGTTTGTGCACATCAAACGGTACCCAAGAGGCCACCACTGTGGCACAGGTGCCACATGCTTGACTGCGTGCCAGGCAGGGCTCAGGAGATTTGCCAACTCTTTTGACTCTGAGGGAAAAAGTTGGGTAATAACTAGTGAAGGTATAATGTCATGAGTTGTGATGAACTCCTATTACAGAGAGCTTTAACTTCCAGTGTGAGTTTGGGGTGTTTTCCCTCCCTGAATTTTCTATTTATGAGCAATGTAAGCAGTTATTAAATACTGTTGGGGACTCAACTTTGACACATAAATTTCCTCTCCTTCACCTTCTTCTTGCAAACGTGAGAGCAGTCTAATGAAAGAATAGTCAAAAATTGCGGGGCATTTTTTTTCCTCCCTCAAGTTTTCTCCCTTCGGTGCGAATCAGGAGTTTCTCAATGTGACACCTGCAACTAGGCCTTCCCCATAGGGCTCACAGACTAGACCCAGTTATGTATGGTTAAAATGTGTATATTCAATAAAATAGACCCCATGTTCTCACTGATTGACTTTATAAGTACATGTTATAAATTTGGATTTAGAAGTTTACACCCACAAAATGATCCTTTTATCTGTCTCATTTATTGGGGCCCCAGATGGGATTTCCATCCGGGGACAGGCTGGTGAAATAACAAAGAGGTTGAAAAACAATGAACTACAGAGTTGTAGGTCCCTCTGGGTCTGTACATGAATCATTCCTTAAAGCCCTTTATCTAAGAGTGGTTTTCCACCATCTGCCTCAGAATCATTTGGGGAGCTTGCTAAGAAGTTCCTGGAGTAGGTACCCTGCAGACCTACTAAATCCGAATCCCTGGGGGTTGCGAGGTGGGCGGGAAATGGCATTTTAATACTTAGCCTCCCTTACCCCCCACCGTCTTCTGGACACTGAGTGGGGCTGGAGTTAGGAGGGTCTGGGAGGGCGCTGGAGGCCCCTGCCCAGGGCCCCGGCCGCCCGGGGGCGCCGCGGTACCTTTGACATGCAGCTGCACTGCACTGAGCGTCTGGCCGGCCGAGTTGCGCGCGGCACACACGTAGAGCCCGCGATCCTTGGCCTGGCAGTAGAGCACCTTGAGCACGAAGCCGCCGTCGCGGTCGCGGTACATGAGGCGGCGGCGGTCAGGGAGCAGCGGGTGGCCCTCCCAGTGCCATTCAATCTCGGGCTCGGGCTTGCCCATCACGTAGCAGCGGAACTTGGCGTGCTTGCCCTCGTTCACCCAGAAGGTCTTGGGCGCGCACTTGAGCGGCTCCACCACGGGGTTGGGGGCCTCGTCCGGGTCCTCGGGCGGGCTCTCCGGGGGCTGCTGCACCTGCAGGAGCGCGCCGGCCCGCGCGTGGCCGTGCGCGTTGCGGGCGTGGCACACGTAGACGCCGGAGTCGGGCAGCCGCGCCGCCAGGATGCGCAGCGCCAGGCTCGCGCCCGGGCGGCCCTCGGCGCGGCCAGGTTCGAGGGAGAAGTGGCTACTGTCCCACACTTCGTCCAGCGCCATCCCGTCCTTCTCCCAGTACAGCGTTGGCGCGGGGAGGCCCCCCACCTGGCACTCCAGCACCACCTCCGCCCCCCGCAGCACCCACTGAGACCGGGGCCCCGTCAGGAACACCGGGGCGCCCTCCCCGGCCCCGGGCGGCGGCCGCGGGCGTTCGGCAGGCTGGGGCTCGCGCTCGGGGGCCGGCGGCTCCAGCACGGTGACTGCGGCTGCCGCGTAGGCCTCTCCGGCCACATTGCGGGCGCGGCACACGTAGACCCCCGCGTCGGTGGGCAGCGCGCCGCTCAGCAGCAGGCCGTGCTCGGCGCCGTCCGCCGGGAAGCTCAGGCGCTCCGAGGCCGCCAGCTGCTGCCCGCCCTTCTCCCACACGACAATGGGCGGCGGCTCCCCCAGCACCACGCACTTGAGCTCGGCCTCGGCGCCACTTACCACCCGCACGGGCCGCGGGAAGCGCAGGAAGCACGGGGGGCTCCCCTGGTCCCCCGAGCCCGCCTTCATCGCGGCGGCGCGGGGGAAGGCCGGGAGCGGCGGCAGGAGCCCGGGAGGCGGGGCGCGTCTGGGGACCGGGCGCCAGGACCCGCGGAGCTTTCCCCTGGCCGCCCGCTCCCGGTTCCCCTCCTTACCCTCGGCCCGGAGCTGCGGCTCTGGCGGCGGCGATTCCCGGGCCGGGGCCCAGGGCTCAGGGGGCAGTCCTTCCTGTTTGCCTCCCCAGCGAGGGGCCCCTCAGACTCCCCTGCCTGCGGCCTAGCTTCCTGCTCCGGAGAGCCAAGTCTTCCCAGCCCCCTCCCACAGCCAGGGCCTCTTTCCCCTCCTCCCTCCCACCTCCAGCCGCCAGGTCCCCAGCCGCCCGCCAGGCTTGGGCCTGAGTGGCAGAGGCGCCTGCAGCTGCCAATCCCCAAAATATTCTCTGATGACACAGCTGGAGGACGAGAGCCCAGACTGGCTCCTCCAGGCCAAGTTTAGCGCAGGCGGGACCACCTGGCCCCCGCCCTAGCCCCAGTTCCAGCCCCTGCCCCAGCCCTTCCCCCCCAGGACTGGCCCAGCAGCTACGTGGTTGAAAGGGGCCCCAGAAGCTCTGAGGGGCTGGCGCGCTCTGTCTCCCTGACAAGGAACGCTTCTAGGAGCTGGCAGACCCCAGCTTCCAGGCTCCTGTCCCATCTGGTGTCACCTCTGCGCTGGGTGCTGGGTTGTGACACAGTGTGTGTGTGTGTGTGTGTGTGTGTGTAGTGGGGGGGGGTTGTATGTGTGGGTCAGGTCACTTGGGGTGAAAGCCCTCGCCCGCCCCTCCCCCACATTCCTGGCGGGAGTGGGAGATAAGGCTCAGGGCCACAGACATCTACGTCAGAGATAGGAGGTCTCAATGCCATGGGCAGGGGCAACTGGACTGCGGGGCGTGGGAAGGGCTGGGGAAGACTGGGGTGAGAAGGGTAGAAGAGGGCGGGTGGTGGGATGGGGAGGGCAGAGTGGGGAGGCCCTGGGCAGACCCTGGCAGAAGGGGCCCGGGGCAGGGTGTGGGTTCACCGTTGGCAGGGCCAGGTGAGCTATGTGGCCTCAGCTGCTCCTCTTGCTGCTGGCCCCACGGGGTGGGCATGGCTGCCATGGGCCGGAGCTGGACCGGGAACTTGTCCTGGCCAAGGTGAGGGCCCTGTTCCTGGATGCCTTGGGAGCCCCAGCAGTGACTGGGGAAGTTCGGAATCCTGGAGTCAGGCGTCTGCCCCGAAGACATGCTGTGAGGGGCTTCACGCACAGGGGCTCTGAGCCCGAGGAAGAGGATGTCTCCCAGGCCATCCTTTTCCCGGCTACAGGTAACGAGGGTGGGGAGCTGGCACCTTGACTTTGGTAAACAGTGTGGTACCGCAGGGGCTTGGGAGCCAGGCAGGTCTGCGTTTGAATTCCAGCCCTGCTACTCAACTGGCCTTGCAGTAATGGACCAGTTACTGAACCTTCCTGAGCCTTTGTCTCCTCATCTGTAAAAAGGGCAATAATGCCTACCTCTCAGGATTAAGTGAGATGGTGTATCTAGCACGCATGGTTCACAGGAGGCATTTGGGAGATAGTCGTCTGGGAGGCCAAGGGTCTCTAGGGACAGAGATATCTGGGCATGGGCCCCTTCCTGCCATCTTTCCTTCTATCTTTGCTTTTGTTCCCTGCTCCAAACACTGCTTCTTTAGGCCCAAGTAGCTGAGACTTGAGAAGATTTCAGGGATGCAGGAGAAAGATTAGCTGGGAAACTAGTCTACCTTCTCTTAAGTTCTCTCCTCATCTCCCCATGTTGCACTGACTCAATGAGTAAAGCCCTCCTGTGGCTAAACTTTCTTGTAATCTGGCCCGCTTTGCTCTCAGAGAGGATCCCTTGCCTCCCTGCACTTCAGGCCCCATGCAGCACAGTGAGTGTGGCTTTGGGATCAGGCAGAATCCCAGCCTGGCTACTTAGTAGTTAAATGACAGTTCATCTTTCTAACCCTCAGTTTTCTTATCTGAAAAATGGATCAATTGTGAGGTTTATACTGAGATAACCCACATAACAGTACAGCCCCAGCTACCAGTTCTTCAGCTCATCATGAACCACATGATCGTTTGGTGCCATCTATATACCTGTCAGGGTAAGGATGCCAACTGCCTTTTCTTAGAAAGCGCTGTCCTCGTTCTGAGTTACATCCTTTCTCCTCCCCCCTCCTCCTTCTTCTTGGTGTTAACCTGCCTTTTTATGGTGGAATTATTTTAAAGACTTTCTCAGGCAATATTTCTGACACATAAAAAGACATAAAGAGTAATATAACGAGTGCTTGTGTACACAGCATTCAAGGTACCATTTCATAGTATCACGTGAACAAAAATTTAAATATAACTATCAATTCTAGGCATTGGTGAGGGGAGAAAGTGCAGGGCCTCTTACACATCGCTGATGGGAATATTAATTGGTAAAACCACTTCAGAGAGAAGTTGGCAATGTCTGGTATTTTTGTAGTCCTTTAATGATGAAATAACAAACGGGGAGCCTCTGTCAGTTCCCCCTGAGACTGAGAAGAGTCCCGCATCTGGCAAAGCACTCAGTAGAGCGCTTGGCAAGCTCATGAGTGGCAGCCACATCCCTCCTGCTGAGGAGGAGGGTCCCAGGTTCTGCCAGTCAGGGCTGCTCTCTCCCTTCCCTCTGCCTCTTACAGGTGCCAGCCTAGGGGACGAGCCAGCTGCCAGAGAGCTGGCCCAGGAGGCCAAGGAGGGCCTCTTTACATATGTGTTCCGGCCATCCCAGCACACACGCAGCCGCCAGGTGACGTCGGCCCAGCTGTGGTTCCACACGGGACTGGACAGGCAGGAGACAGCAGCCGCCAATAGCTCTGGGCCCCTGCTAGGCCTCCTGGCACTGTCATCTGGGGGTCCTACAGCTGTGCCCATGTCACTGGGCCAGGCACCCCCTCGCTGGGCTGTGCTGCACCTGGCCGCCTCTGCCTTCCCTCTGCTGACCCATCCCGTCCTGGCGCTCCTCCTGCACTGTCCTCTCTGTTCCTGCTCAGCGCGGCCCGAGGCCACCCCCTTCCTGGTGGCCCACACTCGGGCCAGGCCTCCCAGCGGAGGGGAGAGAGCCCGCCGCTCCACGCCCCCGCTGCCCTGGCCTTGGTCTCCCACCGCGCTGCGCCTGCTGCAGAGGCCTCCGGAGGAACCCGCTGCGCATGCCGACTGCCACAGAGCGGCCCTCAACATCTCCTTCCAGGAGCTGGGCTGGGAATGGTGGATCGTGCACCCTCCCAGTTTCATCTTCCACTATTGTCATGGGGGCTGTGGGCTGTCCACCCCGCCGGACCTGTCCCTGCCGGTCCCCGGGGCACCCCCTACCCCTGTCCAGCCCCTCTCTTTGGTGCCAGGGGCCCAGCCCTGCTGCGCTGCTCTCCCAGGGACCATGAGGCCCCTACGTGTCCGCACCACCTCGGATGGAGGTTACTCTTTTAAGTATGAGACGGTGCCCAACCTGCTCACGCAGCACTGTGCTTGCATCTAAGGGGGTCCTGCTGGTGGCCGAGTCCCACCATTACCAGCCTGGAGGAAGGGCAGGGTTCCCACCTCCCCGCTCCTTCCACCTCTCTGCCTGGAGGCTCCCCTCCCTATCCCGTCCCTGTCCCACGGGTAACGTGACAATAAACAGCATAGTGCATATGACTCGGTGTGTATTCTTAGGCTTCTCTGACACGTTGTGTGTGTCGGGGTGAGGTCTGAGCCCCGGGAGCATGGGATTGTGGGATCTCAGGTCACTCAGCCTCACTTGACCTCAGAGATGTGGGTTTCACCAGCTGTAATTCGATGTGTATCTGGTAGGAACCTACAATGCTTGGGGATGACAAAAAGGTGCTTCCCAGCTCAGGACAGCCACTCTGGAGCCAGAACTGGCCGTCATACAAGCCGGACCTGATGTGTCGGTTGGGTGGCCTGCTGTGCACACCTCATAGTGCCTATGCCTTAGTGGCCTAACCGCCCCCTGCTTGCCACACTCTGCCCTAGCTGATGGACACCTAGCTCAAGGTCAGGTGATTTATAGATGTGCCCTGTGTATCTTTACATAATCCCTTAACTCAGCCCTTAATGTCAGACAGTGGAAAGGCAGAGAAACCATTTGCTCTTGTGTGAACTTGTGCCCACACTGAGAGCCCAGAGTGCACAGAGTCCTTTTCTTTTCTTTTCACGTTGCATCTCCTATCAGTCCATTATGCCCCACCTTGACTGGGCCCCGCTTCCCTGGCCTTCCTGCTTTCTTTTTCACTCTCCTGCTTCTCCCCTTGGTCTTAGTATCCTCCTGCCCTGCCCTAGGTCCTGGCTCTCAGCCACTAGGTTCCATCCAGTCTCCCTTTAAGGTGTGTGTGTGTGTGTGTGTGTGTGTGTGTGTAGGGGGAGGGTTGGGGATGTTCAGGTCCCTCAGATTGAAACTCTAGAGCACTTTCTGATGTTGACTGCACAACTGCAACGTGTAGTTATGCTAACACAAGACTCCTACTAATCCAGATCCATGGGGTGTGGAGTGGGCCGGTAAGTTCCTGCCCCAGGAAGGGGTGTGGAGGGGGGAGAATCCCATTCTGTCACCTTAGGCTAATGCCTTCTCAATACTTGAGCTGAGCTGGGTGAGCTATTGTTCCTCACAGCACCAGAGTCCCCATGGCAGCCCACTCCGACTGCATGAGGCCCGGTCTCAGTTGATGCTGCTGCTAGGGAGTTGGGAACCCGCCTGTTCACAGGCCTGGGTCTCTCCCAGCACCTTCATCGACACCCAGCATTGCAACTGGTATGCTCAGGGCCCCTGGGCTCCCCACTCAGGTGGGGGACTGGGGAGAGGGCTGGTTGGGCTGGGCCAGTGGTGGGAATGGGAGATTTTCCTCAAGGCCGTCTAAGCACTGCTCTCTCCCTGTCTGGTTTCCCTTGCCTGGTACCCCCTGCCCTGAGCGAGGCTTGTCCCTGGGATCTTCAATCCTCCTACTAGGCTTAGGATGCTCCCTTTTCCTGCTGGGGCCATCTAGGACCCTGTGATGTCCAGACTTTCCCTGTGCCAGGGATGTGGATGTCATCTGAGGGCTGGGGACACTCTACCTAGGGCCACAGGGTTCTCTACTAGGCCAGTTAGCAGATGGGTGTTGCTAGGGAAGTGTTTTCACATATCTGATACAGAGTGAGAGAAATGAGTGCCACATAGTAACTTTCACAAAGCCAAAGGTATTCTTTCTAAAGGGTTGCCCTGTATTCTAAAATTATCCTTCCTGTGTGTGTATGTGTGTCAATATGTTGTTTCTTTTATGATATCATAGTGATGGTAGACAGTAGGGGTTTTGTTTGTTTGTTTTTAAGTTTTTACTTAACAAAATTAAAACTTGGCAATTCTAATTTGGATCCTAAGATTTTTCTTTGTAATTTTGCTGCTGAAATCTGTGAAATCTCTAAATCTGTGAAATCCTAAAGTCTGGGAGTCACTGGTCTGGGCCACCCTTCCAGGGTCTCTAAGGCCTTTGATTCCACTAACTTAGCAAGTCAGGAAGAAATGTCCACCCCTCCCTAAGAGGGGCCAACAGTGGCTAAGAAAATCTGTCTTCACTCCTGGCCATGAGACTAAAAGCAGTAGACTTCAGAGATTTTCCCTGTTCCCCGTGGTAATCATTAGAGACATTTTGAATAATCTTCATTCAGAGACAAATTGAACAGAAAATTCAACTCAAACTGGCTTAGACCAAAGAAAAATAGAATTAAAAAAATCACTGCCTTATGACAAGTCCACAAGCATAGCTGGCTAAGGTATGGCTTGATTCTGGGGTCAAAAGACACTACTGTACCGGGATCCAGCTATAGGCTCTACATCCCCTGAGTGGGCTCCATCCCAGGTCCAAGGCAGCCTGGGCAGTTCCAGGCTCTCATCATCATACCACTTGGTCTAGCAGGAGGGAGTTTGCTTATAGAAGTCCCAGATTGGGTCTTGGTGGCCTGACTGTCCTGATTAGGGTCATGTGCTCCTCCAGGAAAGGTGGCTGAGGGAACAGAATGAGTTAATGACTTAGATCATGTGTCCTACCCCTGGAGTCCAGAGCCTAAAGCACAAGGTGAAGTTATCACCTGCTTCCCCAAAGTAGAGTGCAGTTACCACACAAAGGTGGGATAGGTGCTGAAAGAAAAGTCCAGCTGGTTCCTCCTCCTAATTATGTCTCAAATCAAGCCCTTTCTCTCTCTCTACATAGACACTACTTTGCCATTTAAGGGGAACTTCTTTTTTTTTAATTGAAGTATAATTGATTTATAATAATTGTGTTAGTTTCAGGTGTACAGCAAAGTGATTCAGTTATATACATATTTTTTCAGATTATTTTCCATTATAGGTTATTACAAGGTATTGAATATAGTTCCCTGTGTTATACAGTAAATCCCTGTAGCTTATCTAATTTAGGTATAGCAATTTGTATCTGTTAATCCCATCCTCCTTATTTATCCCTCTCCCCCACTCCCTTTCCCCTTTGGTAACCATAAGTTTGTTTTCTATGTCTATGAGTCTGTTTCTGCTTTGTATATAGATTAATTTGTATTACTTTTTAGATTCCACATATAAGTGATATCATATAATATTTGCCTTTCTCTGACTTACTTCACTTAGTATGATATTCTCCATCCATGACATATAAGTGATATCATATAATATTTGCCTTTCTCTGACTTACTTCACTTAGTATGATATTCTCTAGGTCCATCCATGTTGCTGCAAATGGCAATATTTCATCCTTTTTTATGACTAATATTCCATTATATATATAATATTCATATATATATATATACACACATATATATGTGTGTATATATATATACAACACTACGTCTTAAACCAATCACCTGTTGATGGGCATTTGGGTTGTTCCCATGTCTTGGCTACTGTAAATAGTGCTGCTATGAACACTGGGTACATGCATCTTTTTGAATTAGAGTTTTTGTCTTTTCTGGATATATGCCCAGGAGTGGGATTGCTGGATCATATGGTAGCTCTATTTTTAGTTTTTTAGGAACCTCCATAGTGTTTTCCATAGTGGCTGCACCAATTTACATTCTCAAGGGCAATTCTTGATTGAGCAATTCAGCAGCCTCCTTAACCAGTCTCTAAGCAGTCACTCCCTACCTCTCCAGTCCATGTCACACCTGGTGCTGAGAGGATAACTTCTTTGGTGATTTTGTCCCTTAGGTGATGAAAAACTTGTCTACCCAAAGTTCAACTTGCTTTGTGTGGTATAACAGCCCTTTACAATAGACCCTACACCTATCCTTGCAGACTTGGAGTGATACAGTCATGAGCTAAGAGATGCCAGCAGCCTCTACAGGTCGGAAGAAGCAAAGAACAGATTCTCTCCTGCAGTCTCCAGAAGGAGCCTGTGATTTGTTACTTTACATGGCAAAGGGGACTTTGCAGATGTGATTAAGGTTACTACAGACCTTAAGGTGGGGGAGATAATTGTGGATTATCCAGTGAGCCCAATCTAATCCCATGAGCCCTTAAAAACAGAATATTTCCTGGCTGCTGTCAGAGAGTTGTGATGATAGGGAAGAATCAGAGAGATGCAATGTTGCTAGCTTTGAAGATGGAGGAAGGGGGCCAAAAGCCAAGGAATACAAGCAGCCTCTAGAAGCTGGAAAGGCAAGGAAATGATTCTCCGTCAGAGCCTCTTGAAAGGATGCAGTCCTGCCGTCACCTTGATTTTAGCCCAGCGAGACCCATACCAGACTTCTACATAATTGTAAGATCATTAATCTGTGTTCTTGTAAGCCACTAAATTTGTAGTGATCTGTTACGGCAGTAACAGAAAACTAACCAGAAACAGTGACCAAAGATGACGTGGTGTCTGGGAAGAAGAAAACCCTTTTCTATCATTCCTGATGTAGTCTGCCTCATCCAGGAAATACTTGGCTTCAGTACAATTTAGAATATTTATGCTGGTCATTCTTTAGATCCAGTATGTTTGACAAAAAATACATTCCTGAATTTCTACACTAGTTTTGTCTTGGAGTAGAATATATTCTGGGTTGAGCAGTTAGAAGAGTGTTAACATAGGGTGTCCCCTAGAAAAATGTGTTGAATGAAAAAATGAATGTGATCAAGACAGGCTCTGAAAGGGATTGTAATCATTTGATTTTTTTTTTTTTTTTTGCGGTACGCGGGCCTCTCACTCTTGTGGCCTCTCCTGTTGCGAAGCACAGGCTCCGGACACGCAGGCTCAGCGGCCATGGCTCACGGGCCCAGCCGCTCCGCGGCATGTGGGATCTTCCCGGACCAGGGCACGAACCCGTGTCCCCTGCATTGGCAGGCAGACTCTCAACCACTGTGCCACCAGGGAAGCCCCAAGCTGTATTTTTTGATACTAGTGATATAGCTAAATCAATAAGTCAAAAAATGCATAAAATCTTAATAGGAGAAATAATTATTGAATGATCAAACTAGTTCAAAATAAGAATACAAATACTTTTCAGTATATATCAAAAAAAACTTATTTGACAAAAAAAAAATGTT